GTCTCTCAACAATCGCCTCCCTTTTGTGGTTCCCTCTCTTCCCGTCTTCAGTATTCTGCTCTAATACCTTCTCCATCAACTCTCTTCAGACTCTCCCCCAAATCACCCCCCCCCACCCTTCCACAACTCTCCTAAAAAGAGTGCGTCCAGCAACTTCACAAGGAATCAAAATCATGTCGCCAATGCCCGCAAGCCATATCAAAAAAATCATTTTATTCCGCTATCTACCATGCCATCAAAACACTCAACCCTTCAACCCGCTAATCATCCCAGAAAAATCGACTATCAAGCGTCTCCTGATATCCTATCCCTATTCTCCATTCATAACCATAAGAACCTTTAGGGTATTAAACATAAAACGCTCCACACACGCAAGGTAAGGCAAAAAAGGCAGTAAAATAGATTCAACGTAATTATCCATGGTATACTCCATAAATCCTCATTGCGTTAGATCTGTCTCTCTGTGAGATTATTTGTCTCACATGATCGTATAAGAAAAAATTACTCCAAAAGAAAGGTGTGCGACCGGACCAGACTTTTCTATATAATAAGAAAATCAATATAAAGTCGATAGAATGGTCCAAAATGCAAAACATCCAAAGTGAGATCGGGCCCAATGATATGTCTGCACAATCATCGCCATAAATCTTGGCTGCTGTTTTTCCTGGAGTGTCTTTTCTTTTCACCAGCTGAGCTGCTGGGTCTCGGGGGATCATCCGCGGGCACGGCGAGGAAGCCACCAAATCCATTTCCGACAATAACACTTCTTCTTGCGCCATGACCTGGAGCCCATGCTTTACCCATACTATCACCTAGTCCATAACTGCTAATCGGTCTTGCTGTTGTTGCCGAACCTCTTCTGCCGGGTGCAGTTGGCGGTTGGACTTTGGCGAAATTCCATTCCATTTCATCAAGACCTTTACTGTAAACCTCCAATTCTTGTTTAAGTCCCATTCCAGTAGGCATCGCCGGAGACAGGCTTGCTTGAGCTGCAAAAGGATTGTTGGAACTGAATCGATTGTTGGGCATTGCAGAAGGTGCATTCGAGGAACGATCGAAAGGATGAGGTGGTACAAAATTATCTGGATCGGACGCATATGCGGGAGCAGGAGGTGCGAGACCGATCAAAGATTCGGGGAACTCGGAATCGCGAACGTAAAGAGCTCGAAGCGCAGGTAGTCTATTGGAAATTAAGGAGGTTGTGAGGTATGAGTAATGACTTTGTACAACGCTCTTGAATGTATTTGCGGATGATGCGGAGATGATTTCATAGTGTAATGTTTGTAGTGACGTTGAGGAAAGTGGTGGAATATTTTGAAGAGCTGGAAAGGACGCATGTACTGACTCAACGATTGATAGAAAGGTCAATCTGGGAGCATTGTCTGTAATTTTATGCAAAGTAGAAGGATGAATACCCGTTTCGGTCAATGAAAGATTTGTAAGTTTCTCTTGCGTGTCTGAACGGAATAAATACGCCTCCAAGCCGATTGCTGTAACGTTGGGTGTATTTTCGAAAACCAATTCAGTAAAAGCTGGAAATGGCGGCAGATAATCGCTGTGCTGGAATACTTCATCATTGAAAGTCTTTGTATCTGTAACTTTCAAAGCTCGAAGCCCGGTTAATGAGCCCAAGGCACGTCGAATAATCGTAGGGTCCATGTTAAGTCTTGTAAATTCCAATACCTCCAGATTCCTCCAAATCTTACCGCCTGCCAATTGTTCAAGGCTTCTCTCTGAGCCGGTCATATATGTCATCTTTCGTAGATCTGGACATCGAGCTTGAATTTCGAGTTTGAGTGTGTGACAGGAAGGATCATCTGAAAATATACCCTCGGGGAGATCAAGATATCGCATATTAGGACAAACTGCCACGCTTCGTGCAAGATCGGCTTTACAAGCTCCTCTAGTCATGTATGGTGTTTTGAGAAATTCCACCAGTTCTCCCAACATTCTATTATCGCGAATCGTTCTGCAAAGTAGTTGCAGCCTAACGTTTGGCGTTTCCTCTGGTTCTGCATTGCGATTGAATCGACCTTTATGTTTCCTCTTCTCTGATAATATTTCTTCGAGTTCGCAGAAATGGACTGCATCAATCCGAACACTATGATACCTGCGCAATAATTCAGTCAGCTTAATTGAACACTTCGCACAAATGGGTGGACTACGAACAAAACCCCAATAGCTACATTCCTCCATTTTCTTGAGACTCGCGCACAATGAGCCAAATCTCTTGTATCGCACAATGGACAACAGTCATCCAGAGAAGATTGTTCGCATGTCTCATAAGTTTCGTCTTGAGAGTGAGGGCATACAAGTATGAAGATACGTTCGAGAACTTTATCGGGAAGCTTGTTTATGATAGATCCACGCGGGGTTGCATATGCTGCATGATGCCTTCGATCTGCTCGATTTGTATAACTGCGTACGAGAGATGGTTTATCTGATAGCTCCTTTCCTAGCTTCTTCTTTCTTCGAAACCACTTCATGATGAATTTGGCCAGTTTGATAAATGAAGCAACAAATCACCCCTATGGAAGGAGGTGATTATTAAAAAGAAAGGAACGATCTCGGTACTTGGAGGGTTTGAATCTTTTTGGTGGAGGAGTTGCAAACCAACAGGGATTTCTTGTGGATTGGGGTAGGATTCCTCTTGGGGTTATGGGCTAAGCCTGAGGAAGCGAATCAAAGGGCGACAAAGCCTGAAAGGATTGATTTGACGGTTTTTGGTTGGTTGGTAGTGCACTGAAGTTTTTGGGCGGATTACCTGTGAGGCTATGAATTTATGAATTACCTAGGGATTACCTGTTACCCAGTATGTATGTATGTACCTGGTACCCAGAATCTAGTTATCTAGGAGTACGGAGGATGTGGGGAAGGGAAACTCTTTATTAATAACTTCAAACACAGTTTCGCTCTTCTTCCTTGGTATCATTTGGTGGAGAATCAACCGCACACTTTGGACGCATACAAGAGATGTGTGTGTATGTGTGTGTGGATGTGAGTGTGTGAATATGTGTGAATGTGTGTGAATGTGTGTGAATGTGTGTGTGAGTGTGAGAAAGTCTGATATAAGATTCTGAAAGAAACCCTTCAAACGATAAAGGGAAACCAGTTTTATTAAACCACCACCTAGGTAATGATGATTTACTATAATTCACTTGATTACATACTCATGAGAAATAGGGGAATTCACTATCATTATATCCTTGGCATCACAAGTACAAGTACAAGTACAGGTACAGGTACACATGTAACCAAGATCTACCCATCTCTATCCGTCACCTATAAACCTTCACACAAGACTCACAAGACGACGGTTAAATTCGAATGGGAATTTCATCCTATTAATCCCATTGTTTGCTAATTCTTGACAGGGTCGGTGAATGTTTCATATCCAACCGATCAACCGTCTGAACTTCCTTTGATTCCTTGAGATCCACCTTTTGTGGTTCAATGGAACTTATGGAAGCGATGAAGTGCATTGTGTCCCGACCCCAAATCTTCATTTGATCCCTGAAAGATACCGGAATCAAGCTCCTGTTGCTAATTCGGGATATCCGTAGGGCTTGTCAATGTGGCTGTGATTTGTTTGTTTGCTTGTGTGTTTGTTTGTTTGCTGCAAGGGACGATATCTCAACAACAAGAAAGGAGCCAGCCTTGTTCTCTCCCCCACTTGTGAAGTCACATCTTTCATATATGGAGTCCAGGTTTCAGATACTCAGATCAATTGGGAGTTGATCAAGGAAGCGCTTCTAAATTTTGCATCAATTTCCTTTGTTCCTACTAGGCAGTACCTAGGTAGTCATACATCTGTTTGGTCACAGAACGCGAGTTCAAACAAGGCTTCCTGATAATTGTCCGATGTGCTGAAGTTCCTTTCTTTGTTCTTACATCTATTTTGGCTCCAAGATATACCTAGTAATCTATCTCATCATGAAGCCAGCGAACAAACACAGGGAAAATATCCTAAACCTACTCTTCTCGTATTTCTGTTTTCGCCGCCATCAGATAATGTCTGCCACTCAGTGTTGGCGAGAGGTACAGGGAGTACATATGCCTGAATTACTCAAAACTATCACACAATCCTTGGTACTTTTGATATTTCACCACCAGCCTTTTGTCATCGGTTCATCGTGATTTTGATGCTCCTTCGCAGAGAACTTTAATCATATGAGTCAGATTCAAATCGATATGTCTAGCAAACTACAAATTTGGGGTTTCAGTGGCCACTTTCCATGATCTACTTGCTCTACGCTTCATTCATTGTTGAAAGATTCCAATTCAAAGAAAATCGAGACACCATGGCGTACATGAGACGCCCATACGTACATCTCTCAATGAACTGATGGTGATCATTGCAAAGCGAGATTAAGCGCTTTATAAAGAAACATACGGGTGCTCGAATGCTTCTTATCAGCGATGTAAGGCGAAACAGGTTACATCGGTCCTTGTGTCGGCGAAGTTTTCTAATGAAGAGAAACCGAATCCATCAGCAAAGCAGATCAACAAGCCGATCGTCAATTATGGATTGTGTAAAATTTATGTTTCACTACTTTCCCCGCCCTATTATGAAGCTTAATTAAAAAGCTTGTCCCTAGAAATGTCCGTGCATTAGATATTTTTGACTTTATCAATGACTTGGTTCAATTGTTTTCTCCTGAAAATCTTGATGCATATTCATTTACTTATATTTTTTATTCACAACATTCACACGTTTGATTTCATTGCATCTGGGAGTTTGATACTGTTTTCAATTCAATTTTGATTTTCTTGATTTTTTTATTTATTGATCAAAAGACTAGATCCTGCCTGCCATCATAGTCACACTTTACTTATGTAAAAAAACGCCGATTGTGGATATCAAGCATTCTTTGTTGTTTTTCTGGGTGCTTTGGAATATGAAAATCAATCGACCAACTCCAAAATGCTAAATGATTGGTATTTATACAATTTCTGCGTGTGTGTGTGTTGATGTCCTCGTCATCCTCGCGACCCCAAGCTCAGTGTCGAACCAAACATCCCCATTTCATCGCAGGCACTTGCCATTTCGGACCCTTCTTTTGTCGAATAGGAGGGACGAAAGTATTACACCACTGGAGACCAAATCCAAATGCTTGCTTCTCCCCCTCTGAGAGTGGAATTAGTTCGATCGAGACTCTGATATCATCACAAGCTGAGCGGATGGCGGGGCTTAAAATGTCTAAATGAGGTATTACTTTTTGTGTCGGGTCATCCCGAAGAATTACCAAGGTTTTTACACTCGTGAACTTGCTGGCGACTCTCAAGTCTGAAAGATGTTGTCCATAACACCGATCAATGTCGCCTATGCCGAATTTTGATTGTGGAATAGCAATGGTTTGGACCGAAGATTTGAGCTTGGAGATATGCCACGCGCCTAGTGTAAAACCATGGACGGGCTCAATGACAAAGACATCAGCTTCCGGGCTAAACCAGACCTTACTAGGATGACAAGGGCCAGGAGGCCGGAAGCCATGCGTTTGGTAACACAAAAACGATTTCAGATCCGAACGACGACGAAAAGCTTCTATACGAGATTCGTGATTGACTTCGAGAGCTCCGATGGCTCTAGGCTTCCACTGCATGTCGCCGATGATCACCCGAGGAGGACTGAGATCATGGTCCACCATGGTACGCCAGATCTGGAGTCTGATTTTCGTGGGAAGATCCGCGAAGCGAGACATATCTGTGGAAGACATGATCTCTGAGTTGTTAAGTGATACCTGATAGATTTTTGGATGTGTCTAGTAATCGGTGGTCTAATGTCTTATTCTGAGAAGGTACTAGGGATAATGAACTAAATTATGAGAGCAATAATCATCTCTTTTATACTCCGGAAGAGGGACTTCGAGGAACAATTTGCAAGCTATATCTACTTCCACAGACAAGTACTAATTCTAGACCCCCCCCCCCCCCCCCCGAACATAACTAAACTGGCGAGTTGAGGGGCAAGGTCACGTGATCTGAAGCTCAGTGCCTCCTACATCACTTATGAACTGATGCGTATTAGATTAGTCTGCTCGTAGTTGTTCCAGGGCATTACGATACAATACCAAGACTATTCACAAGAACTCAAATCATACCTGTCTGCGCTCACTAGCGCACACAAATCTAGCGCTACATATAATAAATTGTTTTTGAATTACAGAACAATGACGATCCATCTGTGCGAGAAATCACCATGTACGGTTTTGTACTCTGGGTATGGATTTGATCAAGGCAATGGGGTTTCTAAATAGTAGGTTGAAAAATCGGAAGCTCCAGATTGTTTATTTGGGAGAGTTTTGAGACCGGGAGTAGAGAGGGTGAGGGTCGGTGTGCAGTAGGTAGTATATCTACTCATAATAGAATTACTGGAGCCGATGCTTGGGAAATTGGGATTGAATGGTGGTTTAGCATTCGGTACTTGTAAATTGCAGACGATAACGCTTTCGCTGATCAGTCAGGCCGCTATTCTCTTCGTCTCTTTTTTTTTTTTGCTTTTTTGCCAAACAAACTCGGGATTTGTGGTATTAAATACCATCAAAGAGTTCTCAGTATCTCGCATATATTAAGCTTCAAACCTGTACTTGAGAAGCTGCAGGTGTGCTAGGAATCACAACCAGATTCAAGTTCATAGGATGTCGGCATGAAACTTTTTGGCGGGTGCAGATCACAATCTAGATATTTGGTCGGACAAGGTACTGACGGTGTCAAGGGCGTAATGTCCTATCCAAGTTGTGCACTTTTATGGTTTCATTGTTACAGATTCTTTTTACCGAGCTATTAATGATCGTCACATCTACATTATCGCCCGAGTACAGAATTTAGAAAAAGCTTGAGTGATGGGGGTTTTGATACGGCTATTTAAGTCGGGCGAGTTGGGAGATGGTGTAGGGGTTACATAAGCACGTCTTGTTGTAGAACATGCCTAGTACATGTTCAGTGGACCTCATGATTTATCAATTCAGGAGTGAAGCAATCTACAACACTTGCTTCGATACAAGAAGTGAATATGTCATTCCTTCGCAAAGCAAGCGCCAAGATGATCCACAATCTTTCAACCTGGCTAGATAGGTAGGTATTTAAGACATCCTACACCTTACATTCAAGCTGGCAAACTAAGTAAGTAAATATCTAGTCAAATCGAAAGATATGGTCAGAACTGGGGACATCCTTTTGGCCTGCGTATGGGCACTTATACTTCGGCTTGTGGTTTGGGATTTTAAAATTCTGTGTTCTTTGGTCTTTATGTACCTCGATGGTCATATTTTTTGGGCTGTTCGGTTGATTTCCTTGGGAAGAGTTGATGGGTGGGTCTATGGATGTTAATGAATTGTTAGACATGCAGTGAATATCTACATATGTATTCGAGCTGTTCAGACTGAGGTCGCTGCAATATCTTATTATTTAAAAGATACCCCCTATCGGATTTCCATACTTCAATATACGCTAGAAAGCCCAGAATGAGTAAAGCTGAGGTTCTTGAAACTTCAATTGTTGCATGAAAACGCGATGATAGATGTTCAGCTACAGCAGAGCTCGACCCTGCAACTTTTTCAACCGATATTGGTGATTTTCACGGTCTAAGATTTTGGTTACAGTAATCATTATCATCAAAAAAAAATTCATCGTCAATTCCGAAAGCGTTTCACCGAAAAATCTAACACACAACAACAATATCTCCCATCTCTAGAATCGTGGTACCTCTTTTTAGCATTACTTTATCTTTCATCTAGGGAACTTACAAAAGATTTCAAATCCAGGACATTCCAGATCCTTGAGTTTCTTTAACTTGTGATCTTGTCTTGTGGAGAAGTTATCCTGCATGTATTTATACTATTAAAAATAAGTTACTGGTCATCAGGTGTCCTCTCAGGTCTTTCGTAAGTAGAGATCTAGCAAACGATTCACTTTCTTTGCTTTAGTCAGGGGGTTTGTAGATATATGAATTTGTCTTGGATCTATTTGACTCCCCGATAATCGTGAAGTCGCTATGAAATAAAACCACCAGAACGAACAGATAATCTTCTCGTTCAACATGCGCGAGATAAGTTCTGGGTGTCTTACCCCTTTTCTCTTGTTCAATCTTTGTCAGAAGAAACCCGAAGTACCTGCTTTTCCAATTAGCACTATCGATTGCAGTGAGCTTTCGCCTCTTGGAAGAGCAATGTTCGCTGCCATCAGTGGTAGATTTGAAAGTCATCCCTTCTGAATACTCATCGGACTTGAACGACAACACTCCCTTGAGAACGAGCACTAGTTTGACTTGTTCCGGGCTTGAAGAGGTATCAAAATGTGGTGGTCTGGAATACGGACAAGGAGAATTTGTAGCCATGGAAATACATTTTGAGCACCTCCGCGATCTCATCGAGGTCATCGTTTGTTCTTGAATATCACTTTCTCTGCCTTGATCGAGACTTTTATATTCAAGAGATTCCACGCGGTGTGAAAAGTGAGCTAATGAATCAATGGCAACTTCTTACATATTGATGCCGTATTAGTTCACCGTGCCAGGTCATGGGTAAGGAGTAAATTCATGGTGAAGAAACACACTTGAGGCGGGGATGTATGAGAAACCAACTTGTACTGAAGTTTTTGCTGAACTGACCACTATCACCTATAAAGTCTATGGTAAAGATCTAAACCCTTCACTGCAATACTCAAGAGTATTGAAGGGTAACGAATCTATTAACGGATTCTGGCTGTAAACTATCTCAGCATCTTTCCTTTTCACGGAAACCAGAGATGCATAAATGATAATGACATTGAGAACAGTGACGATGAAGTCCGATAAATATGCCATTTTGACAACTACTATGGACTACCATCAACAGTCTGATCTTGCTGTCTCTATAGTTATATTGATGCACGAAAAGAAACCAACCACTGACAGCATTGCTAAGAACATGGGGTGCAGATGGGGAATATGAATAACTCGTATTTAGTCTGAATACAGAGCTGGTCCTTGAAAATAGAGCATCTGGCTAACTGAATTCCTTTGCAGACTGCAGCGAATTCTATCCATGGTATTGTATAGAAGTACCTACCTAGTAGGTATGTGTTGAAATACTGGCGCGCGTTTAGAAAAAAGTAGAATCCGATTAGCCCTCTTGTAAATCAGAAGACTAGCCCTCTGCTAATAAGCTATCCCCTAAGGTGTCAACTCATGGCGCCATTGCTTAAAAGGACCTTATTGACCAACTAAATCATTAGGATTCCTGAAATTTAATTTCATATTTATAGTACTAACGCACTACTACTAGCCACTTATCAAAATCACACCTAAAAAGCTATTTTTTATTTTATTATATATAAAATCAATAACTTTAACTAAATATTTTTAGTTGAATTTTAGTATATATATTATTTCGATATTAATATTTAATAAAATTATATTTTTAATATATTTTTAATTCTTTTAAAATCTTAATTATATTGTCTAAGAATATGTTTATAGAAGTTTTTGATTTTCGCTTATTTTATTAGCAAATTTCAATATTTTAAAGAATTATTGTTTCTTTTAATTCTAATTTTTTAATCTTTAATAGAAAAAATTATTAAAAATAAATTTTAAAAATTTTGATAAATTTTATTTTATTTTTAATCTAATTATATCAATTATTTATATAAACTATTGATTTTATAATTTAAAAATTAAAAGTATATTTTGTAAATTATAATGAATTTTACTGTGATTTTGATAAGTGACTAGTAGTAGTATACGATGACTATATGTTCAATCTTTAATATAAAATCTAGCTAATATTAATTTTATTTTTTTAAAAAAAGTGATGATAATTAGGTTAGGCTAATTCTTACTTATCAGTATTTTTTAAAAATTAAAAAATCGAATAACTAAAGACTCTATTTTTTATAAATAAAGTGATCAATCTAAGATATATCGTACAGACCATAATAGCGTCATGAATTAACACCTTAGGGGATATATAACTGCTCCTTCCGCTAACAAGGTGAGCCTTGCATATCTGAGCGAATCATCCAGATGCTTTATATAATAAAAAGCACATCCCATCAAATAAACTTTGCATGATCATCAGCGTCAAAACAAGTCACTTTTTTCGACAAGTGGTGGCTTATAACCTCATAATCTCACAACCCAACCCCTTCACAAGTTTGACCTTATTACCCCACCACCCGAACCTCGGTACGAGCGTCGCGTCCACCGCTCGATCTTGGTTAAATTACCTTTCAAGCTACGTGATTCTCGTGAAGCTTCGATATTTCATATTTTACTCGGTCTATATTCATTTTATGCGAATTGAAATTTCTGTTTTCATTTGCGAAAGAGTAATTAGAGTGGGAAGGACAGGAAGAATAAGAGGGGTATTCGGTGCAAGATGTCGAAGTCACGGGAAGAGGCTATTAAGGGTATCGAGGCGATTTTTGAGAGGTATTTAGTTTTAGTTTCTTTATGTGGATGTGTCGAGAATTTGTCTATCCGTATGCGCCGATTGGGAGCATATGATACAGCAAGTTACGAGACCTGTACAGTAGTGATATTTTGTTGGTCGACTTCCGTGTAATGAAGGACTCTTTTTCCCTGGGTGGTTAGTAGTGCTATACCACAGCCTCAAGAAGTTCTTGAGCATCAATCCGATTTTCTCTATTTCGTTTACTCTTTCTCGTCTCAATCTCTCACAACAGCTCTTCGCTTCATATTCCCATTACTTCTCCCCCCCTCAAATCCTACACCCTCCTCTCCCATCCCTCTAACAAACCCCCAGGTACCGCCTGATCGCCCAAGCCCAAAAATTTAAAGGCTTTGACTGCCACCTCATGGAAAACATCAAAATCATCGATGCAACCTCCTCAGGAACCGCAACATTCGATTTCTTCATAGATGAACAGTATAGCAATATCAACAATGTAATGCATGGAGGAGCCGGTGCTGTCATATTTGATATGTGCACTACGTTTGCTTTGGGACCTATTGCTAAACCCGGATCTTGGGAGTATGCTTCTCTTCTTTCTGTAATGTGGGGTCAGGATTGAGATAAATGTTGATGCTAATGGGGAGTAGTTTCCTGGGCGGCGTAACGAGGACGCTCAATTTGAGTTATCTAAGGGCTGTTCCTGTTGGTACGTAGATTTCCATCTTATCATGTGGCTAAAACAGTACGCCTAGAGGACCAAAGTATTAATAATCCCAGGCATAACTGTACGCATCTATACCGAAGTAGTCCAGTATGGCAAAACGATGGCGATGCTTCGTGGTACCATGACTAGTCAAGATGGATCAATCATTTATTGCACGTGTGAACATCATAAAGTGCGTGTGCCAACCCGGAAAGAACATTTAGAGCATAAGGTAGAATGGGATGGTTTGTGGAGTAAAGAGTCGGATGGGAAATCGAAATTATAGTATCTATAGATCTCGTATAGTGTAGCGTAGCATTGTCCAAAAGGCACTACGGATCATTCAAGCATACGTAGAAAAGAGCTGTGTTCCTATTGGACATGCTTGAAGGGAGGAAGTCTCGCCATTTAATAGTGATCTTGAAGAAGAGAGTATATCGAGATGACACTGGGAAGATCGTTTCAAGGCTATATAGTTCGCATTTTCTCGAGCAATGCCTCAATCCGCTTCAGAAGCTATCCTGGATAAGAGCACCATCTAAGATGCTTTAATGCAAACTTTAAGTGCCGAGTAGATCTGGCGTTTCCTCAATACAAAAAAACCAGCATTCACTCGCAGTAAACATTCTGCAACACATTAAATTCAATCCAGGTTCATTTTCCCAATGATGAGGGCATCAATTCATAGATTCGTTAATCCAACACACTAAACCAACCGAACTCCAAGGACGATATCCCAAACCATTACTCATATACACCTCAGCCCTACATACCCATCTCAATATCTCCATCATCGTCCAGGAGACTTTCAACCAGACTATCCTGCAACTGTTGTTCTAACAATGATTCCTCCTCATCGGGAGGGACGATGGTCTTCTCTTGCTCTGCAACGACCGTTCCTTCGCTGTCATCGACATCTTCTTCCTCCGCGTTTTCCTCTTCGTCTTCCTCTACGCTCTCCATCTTGACTGGGTTGTCCATTATCACTTCCGGACCTCTGCTCTTTTTCGATTCCACACTTCCAGCCCTGCTTCTGTTGCTGTCACCGATCGGCAGGCTTTCACCTCTTACACTATCTCTCATCACACTTCCTCCCCTCAAGACACTCTCTTCTCCCGCATCTTTTTCGGCGAGAGAATTTACAATCTTGCCAAGAGTAACGTGTATCTTGAACAAAGCATTTCTACCAGTAGCATCGAGGCCCAGCTTTTTGTTCTCGACGGCCTCAGTCACCTCCTCATATGTGGCACGAAGCTTATCCTCGGATGAGGCTGGTGAGATATGAAGTTTGGCAAGAAGTGGTGTAAGAGTTTTCTTTTCTTCCACTGTTTGAAGTGTTAGTTTAGGTCTTATAGCACTAGGAACGAATGTTTTAACTTACGTCTCATAGTCGAGTTTAACCTTTCCAAAATATCCATAGCAAAATCAAGATGAACGTCTCCATTGACTGCTTTCTTAGCTACATCATCGGATAACGTAAGTTGATTACCAGGAACATAGCATTTTCTAGGGTCTGTCCAATCTACCAAATGGGCACCGATCGTCCCAAGACCAACCATTTCAGCCTCAGCATCCTCATCATCATCTTGCGTTTCAAATAGTTTGTGCATGGCGTCTAATGCCACTCCTCGCATTCTATCTTGATTTTCTGCTCTGCTGTAGCAGTAAACCGGTAGGAAATAGGTAAGCGTTTGACGAACACCTTGGTTATGAGCTGTGCTGGGATCAAAGTAAAGGACAACCAATGTCTTCAATAGATCATCAATAGCAGACGAGGCATCCGTGATTATACGTCCCAGTAAGAGCTTAGCAACAGCAACGGTAGCTGCTGCCTGGACTTCAGGGTCTTTGGCACCGGATTTCAAAGCCTTCAGATAGACCTTGGTCAAAATTGTAGGATTCGATTCCAGAAGTTGCGCACCGTGTTGATTGAGCATATCGGTCAAGATCTGCAAAGCAGTTATTTGAAGAGCAGAGTGGCCTTTACTGAAGAAATGTATGAAAAGAGCTAGATTCTCCTCGGCCAAAGATTTGTCAAGAAGAGAACACAAGCCAATACAGACAAGACCACGTTCTCGCACAGGTGCCTCATAGCTACGCACAGCCGGTACAACAAGGTTGTTGAGCATAGCTACAAGATCCGGGTTCTCCTTAAGACTTCCTTCAACATTTTCAAGCATACATTGCACAATATGCAAGCATTTCATATTGACCATAATTTCACGGACCGCTTTCTCTTGCTCTTCTTCTTCTGTCATTGGGGGCTTTTTCTTGCCTCTGGTGGGCTTTTCGTCATCGCTGACATCAGATCTTGCAGAATGGAAGCTCTCTTCCGCATCCTCGAAATCTTGTTCATCCGTAACTGTATCATGAACATCTGCAACAGCTTCCAAGACCACACTACAAAATTCCCTTTCACCAGCAGGAGTTGCGGCACAAATTCCTCTGAGGACTTCAACGGTTAGTTTAGTAACTTCCTCAGGCAGCTCCGGAATCGCCAAGTGCTGTCTCAGAAGCGTGAACATTTTCCGTCGTCCAACTTCATCTGAGTAGTCCAGAGTTCGAGCAATGTGGAGTAATTGTTCGACGATGAATTCTTGCTCCACGGTATCTTCCTCTTCCGCTACATCCTCGGTCACCTCCTCTTGTGTTGCAATCCTCTTGAGAGCCTCTACCAAAACGGCAGTGTATCTGTGGAGGTAAAATGCCAGCTTCGTAACTTCTGGCATTTTCTCTTCAATCAAAGCCTCATACTTGCTATTTCCATCGTTCCGACAGAAATCATTGAAACTTCTTGCCATGAATACAGCTTCCGCCGATAATGTGTCCCAGAAGCGATCATCAAATTCAACGGCGTCTCGAAAGTCGGGTCGGCCCTCCCAAAAACCTTTCATCGCCTCTAGCGCAACCCCATTTTCAACCCCAGAATTAACAACATCAATTCTTTCAAGAAGCTCTAATAGCGCGTCCATATTCGGCGCTCTATTCTCTTCGGCTGCCTCACCTTCCGCAGACTCTGCTGCAGCTGATGCCAAGCAATCTTCGATCCAACGCTCTCTGAAAAGTCTCGCAGCCGCTTTGCGAACGTTTTCATCACGGTCGCGAAGACCCCATCGTAACAACTTTTCACGCATCGAAAGTGACAAATGTCGGAAATCTCCAAGTGCTGGTAAAAGTCGAGAATATAGTGCCCGACGAGTTGCAGGGTCCTGATCTCTGGCTCTTTCCAGCAAGTATGGTAGCGTATTTGGTAAAATTGGTAGATTGATCAAAAGAGACCTTCGAACGTCGGCACTGGGATCATTCTGCAAAACTGCTAATAGTTTGACAAGCAAACCCCCAGAAGACTCATCATCACTTTCATCTGCCTCTCCTTCTGCTTCGTTTCCAGCCAATCTGCCAAGACCCAGCACAGCTTGCACTCTCACCATCGCTTCTTTATCATGGATTCTGCGCAGAAGCCCATGTCGGAGTTGCTGAAAGAGATCGTCATCAATCGAATCGAGAGAGTTGATGATATGCGAAATCAGCTGCGTGGATCTAAATCGCACAAATTTCTCTTTGGCCGTTAAAAGAGGTAAAATAGTCGTCATGAGATGACTTGTGAGTCTCGTACTCGGCGTCTCAACCAAGACTCCATCCTCCTCTTCATTTGCCGGGGTCACTTCATTGTCCTTCTCATTAGCATGTCTCAAAAACAGCCCGATAAAACGAATCGCCTTTTCTCCAACACTCTCACTCTTCTTGATCGGCATCACTCTTAGAACACATCTTGTGAACTCGTATGTGAATTCCTCCTCCTCAAAGTCTTCTGCGCCAGTTTTATTCTTCTTGCTAGTTGGCTCATAACAGCAGGCCTCTTGTATTTTACGTAAGTTAACGACCAATTTTCTATGTGATGCGGTGTTTCTTTGGGAATCTCGAAATATGGCTGAGATCTGCGTGCGCAACTCATTGTCTGGTGTCTCTTCTGGAATTTCAACGTATGGCGCTGAGGATTTAGATGTAGCAGATCTGCGACTACTTGGTTCCACCGTAGATGATTTGCGAGATCCAGAAGCAGATGTCCTCGAGCTCCTGCTAGAGACTTTGCCCGGCATCTTGTTTTCTTGGGCTCAGGTGTGATATGAAAAATTCCGTTTTGATCATAGATTATTCCGTTTCGTGGTCGTAGATTCGTTGTACTTGGATTGGGCGACAGTAATATCCGTAGAGGATAGTATAGTGAGAGTCGAAAGAGTATTGTCGCAGGCTGCATGGACGCCTTAAATGATCAATCACTTTTTTTCACACTTGATGTTTGTTGACATTGATTTGTTTACTTTCCTACCCCTGCTTAGTCATGAGCGGCTGTCAGCGATAAGCGATAAGACCCGCCCCGCCTCCGGGATAAAGTATTACCGAGGCCGATTTGGTCGATATGGCCAAAACCCCAAAAATAGATTTCTGCCTGATGAAAAAGTGTATTTAGTATTCAGGAATGTGGGAATAAGAATCAATATCACCTATTACTAAATTACTTTCGTAATTTAATACTCTTTCTTCTTTTCAAACTTTATAAATACTAATATATTATTTCTTTATAAATATTTAATTTTCTTTTATTTTTTCTTATTCATTTTTTCTTATTCATTTTATATAATATCATTTATATAATTATAATACTGTTACGGGAGCTGCCTCTAGGGTCACGTGGAAGTGTCTAGAGATCTCTCGAGGTGGTTTAGACTAGACTTCAAGTAGGAATTCAATAAGGTTGGTAACTGGTTGCAATTCTCGTAACTATAGTAATGAAACTAATGATTGTTCTTGAGCACGAAGCTCTACATTGTAATGAAATCCCATTCTTTATATAGACCTTCGTGCTTTGTCCTGGTCCCTGGGACCTCTCCGATATGTTGGATCGTTAAGGATCGCAACGCGCTCCAGGAGCGCTGAAGCTCCTTGACGCTCCATCACGTGCGATTTATGTCATGTGACGCGGTGTGTTGGATGCCGTCGTAACAAATACTTTAATCTTAAATTTTATTAACTTAATATAAAGAATTAATTTATAAATAATATAATAATAAATATAATATTTATAATATTAAATAATATCTTTTTAAATCTACTATTAAGATTATTATTAATATTAAGATTAGAATTATTATTAAATACTTTAATATTTAAAGATTTAATTAAAAGTTTAAAATTAACTATAATAATTTTATATTTAAAAACAAAATTATGATATAATAATTAAAAAAAAGCTTTTAAATTAATAATTATAATACATTTATAAAA